CATGATGAAGGTCCTGAACATTACAAACAATTATCACCACATGGATTACATGCACCATTTTTAATATAATATCCACTTTCACAAGTAAGACATGCAGTTTCATTTTGTACTTAACAATATTTAATAGAATTAGCAGTGCAAACTCCATTTTTAATAAAATATCCTGGTTTACATTCAACACAATGTCCTGGAGTATCACATTATTTACAATTGACATCACAAGCAATACAAGTTGAATTAAGTAAATAAAATTTAGATGCACATTTAGTACATTTAGTTCTATCATCCTATTAACAACTTTCACAATTAATATCTGGACAACCTAGACATTAATTATCTGCTGTTAAAACATAACCTATTTAACATTCAGTACATGTATTTTCTGAACATTTTTTACAATTTGGAGTACAAAATTCACAAAGTTTAGTTTCTTTCAATACATAAGCATCTTCACAACTAGTACAAGTGAAATCGTCATCACATTTTAGACATCCAGTTGGACATTTTGTACATTATTCTCCAACTAAATAATATCTATCAATGCAAGTATCACACACAAATAATTATTCTTCAACTTAAGTACAACTTTTACATCCATATGGACAATCTTTACAAACTATAGAAATTCATAAATTATTCTTTATTACTTCCTTTTTCTACATAGAAAGCATCTGCACATTATGAACAATAATCTGCCAATGAACAAGAGACACAATCATCTCCACATTTCTTACAGCTACCATCATCTTATTTTATGTATCCTGTTTCACATTTTGAACATTTAGAAAATAAACCATCTGGTTCACATACTTCACAATTTACCTAAATATGAAATCTTTAAATACTGGACATCTAATACAAGTAGATGTGGTTGAATTAAATCTGTATCTGTCTTCACATTCATTGCATAATTATGGATCACAACATCTTTTACATCCTTTTTAACAAGTAAAACAGAATGATAAATCTTCAAATTTGTATAAATAATCTGTTCCCAAACATCCAGTACTTGTAGGTAAATATTATCCTTAAACACTAACCAACAATAATAATGTTATCATATTAATTAATATATATTTATATAATTTTAATGTTATTCTTAACCTATTAAACAAACATACTTTAAAATTTAATAGATAATCTATTTCATTATTAGCACAACAATTTTATTCAATAATTATAAAATTCTTCTCATAAATTATTATAAGAGTATAATTTAATATGTCCACTAAATTGAACTTTATGGTTTCTATAAAAGAAATGATTATGACAGGAAAATGCTTCCCAAGAATAAGAGGATTCTAAATAAAACAAAACTTAAATCCTCCTAATCCATTAGAAATTTGATGAAATATACTAAGAAATGAAATAATAATTTGTATTAACAAAGATTTATACTTATAGTACATAGTAAATTATAAAGGAAATACATGATAGTAAAGAATAATTATATTGAAAGAACATAATCAAGTGTAAGTGAAAAGAATCAAGTTTGATTGATAATCATCATTATATAATAGTAAAGGAGAAATAGTAGAAAAAAGCAAAGAATCTGAATAATATAAATGAATCAAACAACCTAATTGAAATTGCTAGAGTTTCATTATCTGTGACTAAATGTAAAATAGATTATGCTCACTTAAAATAAATATTTGATCATTTTTATTTTTTTGTGAAAAGTCTTATGTAAAAAGTAAGTAGCAAATAATATTTTAATATTTCAGAAATGATTAGTTGATCTAATGTTACTCACTAATATTATTAAATTTATTAGAATAAAGTGAGATCTATGTTTCTCTTTTAATTGAAATTTAAAGTCATATGACTTAATAAAATTAAAAAATAATGAAATTAAATACATAAAGAATTATTCCAAGTCTTAAGCCTAAATTACCTTAACAACAGTAGTCAAGATAAGAAGAGTGTTCTAAAAAAGGATATCGTGGCCAATCTGCTGAAAATAAAATTACTACCAAGATGCAGTAATTATTATTTATTAAATCCAGAATAGAATTGATAACAAAGCTAACACTCCAGAAATGATTAGAGTTTTAAATAGCAACTTTAGTCCTACTACTAAATATACAGATATTCCAAAAACAATTAAATAAAAAGTCATTAACTAACCATCTAAAATTCCAATTAGTAACAGAACACAGAAAAGCTAATCCATATTTGTAGAATTTGATTAACCAAAGAATAGAATATCTTCTTAATTCAAATCTCCTAAAGAAGTGACTCCAACTAAAAAATAATCTTAACCGATTTTGCAATAATCATAGAGATTGACTATTAAAAATTAATCTACAACAACTTAATAAAAGATGACTTAAGAAAAATCAAATAATAATTTAAAGTTCAATGATGTTAATAAATTAGAATAAAGAATAAAAACTTAACAAAATGAAAGGTAGAAATAAGAATAAAAAATCATTTAAAAGATGCCTTTGAAAAAAGTAAATCCAAAAAAAGAGATAATTACTAAACCCTAAATTGATAAGCCTTCATAAATTATGTCAACTAGATAAATTCCATCAAGATAATCATTTTCTCCATCAAATTAAGTTACCAAGACTGCATAAACAACACGGGGTCATTCTCCTTCAACTCATTTAAACGATGTTTAAAATGGAAAATTATCAGCCCTTTTAGTAATCTTAATTTTATATTAGACTGTAATTAGGCCAATTTTTAAAGAAGCAAAATATTATTAGACTTCTGTAATACATTTTTTGAGAGAAGAATTTTTTCCTAATACTTCACCATATTAAGTGCAATATAAAATTGAATTTCAAGAGTAAAAAGACTATTTTAAAACAAAATTCTGTGATCATTTTAATCTAACGTATAACTCTTTAAAACATTGTTCTCAATTGACCTCAAAAAAGCCTATAACCTCAAAAGTATTAAATCCTCCAAAAAGGCCAACTTTTTCATCTGAAACTATTAAAACTCTAGTTTTTGATCTAGATGAAACATTAATTCATTGCAACGATATCAATGATAATCCTACAGATTTTAAAACTATTATTCATATTCCTAATGAACCAGAAACAGAAGTAAACTAATTTAAATATTGTTAGATACGTTTTAATATAAGGCCACATTGTTAATAAATGTTGAAGGCTCTATCATAATTTTATGAATTGATACTATTCACTGCTTCATATAAGGAATATGCAGATAAGATTTTACAATATATTGATCCAAAATCAAATCTCTTTTCATATCGATTCTACAGGGAAAA